TGCGCTACTCTAAATGTAATATTTCTCAATACAAAGAAAGACTTAAGGAATATTTGACGAAAGACAAAGAGCAACCGTGGACGTGTCCGCAATAAAGGAACATGAGCAGGAATAAAAACATTGGTAATACGAGCGACGAACATTTCTGCTTATTTTCTTCATCAGGCCCAAATGGATGTGTGGTCTTCTGACTGAAGCCACAAATGTACTTTCTTGTTCTTGTTGGTGGTTTCTAGTTGTATTTCTCTTTCCATCCATTTTTTTCTTTATCGTATGCGGCGCGGGAATCATGTAAAAAACGTACAAAACGTGAGAAAAAAACTATAAGATGTCAACTTGCATACCAGGTAGTTTTTAGGGCACATACAGTCATTCCACGTTTGCTCACTAGACTAGGATCGTTGTGAATGTCCATCTATGGAGGAATCACTCAACTAAACTATGCATTATTGGTTGCATAATTTTGTGAGGCTAAGTGATCCGGGTCAGTAGTTTTTATCTCTGAGAAAGTTGGTTGAATAGCAAGATCGCATCTGGATGATTATGTGTATTGGTCTGCATGTGTATAATTCAGTGATATTTGCTGTGTAAGAAAATCATTACCGAATATGACGGGTTATTTATATGTTGTTCTTTCTGACGAGAGGTTATGTTTAAAGTTATAAATTACGAAAAACTGAGGAAATCATCACCGCGCCCGCGTTGTGTGTAATTACTGTTAGCATGTATACCTACAGTGAATATAATTATTTCTTATCTCTCTCATTTTTGAAATTCAGCAAATTTGTATATGTAATTTCAAGAATGGATAAGAAAAAGTGGATGCGCAACTAATTTCTAGCTTTGAATCTCAATTAAGTGTATTTGAGACAAGAACCCAATGTAATTATCATCCACACATACAACTTACAGCTTAGACCTTCAGTACCTAATGCCATCTGAGAAGCAGATGTTACATCACATCAGGGCCAAAGATTGATAACAAGCCTCATATGACATTTAGGCAACACGTACAACTAAGTGCTAAGTTAACATCTTGTAGAATAACCTACATGTAGCAAGTGGAGTTCCTCAAGGCTCTGTCTTGGGGCCAGTGCTGTTCCTTCTGTATACAAGTGACCTGCCCGCATTGATTTCCTCCACATGTTCAGCTTATGCCGACGACACCAAGATTTACAATACTGTAGTAAATTCTGCTATGCTTCAACGAGATCTTGATATTGTTTGTCAATGGTCAGTCAGTTGGCTTTTACCCTTAAATCTAACTAAGTGTTGTGTCCTTCACCTCGGGAAGACAAATCCGCGATTGACATACAAGATCTCTGACCACAACATCGAAGCAGTTTCCAGCCACACTGATCTGGGCGTTGTAGTCAACGATCGTCTTTCCTGGTCAGAGCATATTCACTACGTTACATCAAAAGCCAAGAAACTTCTATACATGCTGGAGAGGTCTTTCAAAGGATCCGATGTCAACACTTGCGCCTACATTTACAAGGCATTCGTGAGGCCAATTCTTGAATTCGCTGGCCCGGTATGGGGCACTGTGCTTCTGCGCGATAGAAATCTCGTCGAATCAGTACAGCGTCGGGCTACTCGTATCCCTTTTGGAGCACGAAGACCAAGCTATGAAGATCGCCTTGAATTATTCAACCTCACCTCATTCTTTGAGCGAAGACTTCGTGGCGATCTTATAGTTACGTTCAGGATACTTCATGGTTTGATGGGCACCAACCTCATGCATCTATACCGTCTGTCGCGCAGCAATCTACGCGGACACAGCTTCAAACTGCATAAGGAGCCATTTAAAACAACAGTCCGACAGTGGTTTCTTCCCAACCGCTTATTCAACACCTGGAATAGTTTACCTGAAAGTGTGGTTGGTGCTACTTCAGTTAATAGCTTTAAAGTGCAGTATGATAGCCGGAGGAGTGTACAAACTTTATAGCTATGAACTGTCTTTTTTTATTTTTTTCTATTTGATGTATTTGTGTTACGTGTCCGTACACTACGTATATATTTACTGCATGAGCTTATAGTACTGTGTACTCTGCTCATCTCAATTATCATAATAATAATGTCAAAAAAAAAACAGCATAATGTCAAAAAAAATCGGCATAATGTCACTTTTCAAGATACGTGATACCCGTGCGGATGTGATGGGCATATATTTTCACTTCGGTGTTTTTGATGGATATCCAATTGATCCATGACTGTCCTTTGTTTTCCATCAAATTTTTCTTTATATTGAGGAATATTACATTTAGAGTAGCGCGAGTGTTTTACGTCTTTTGCCTTTCAGCATATATCTAAGATAATCAAACGCTGATGACATTCAGATGTTCGCATCTTCCAATCGGTCACTTTTGGTCGGGAACGTCATTGACTAAAAAATTACGTCTTTATTGACGCCATTTTTATGACGACAACAAGACGTCCTTTATAATAAACAATAAATAAATATAGACTTTTAATGAACAGTAAGAAAAACTAGATATTCAAATATTCTAAGTGACATATAAATCCGAACACCCAGTTTAAATGGTTTTATTTTAATAAAATTTTGTATAAGTACTTAATGAAGCATAATAAGTAAATGATAAAAATTTCAAAATGATTGCACTGCTTTAAAGCCCTATGACCTTTAATAATGTGTGGATGCACTCTGATGTGCTACGCATTCTCCAACGCGCCTAGGCATGCTTCTGATCAGGTGGTCAATGTCCTCCTGTGGTATCTCATTCCAGGCAACCACCAACTCCTCTCGAAGTGCTTCTAGAGTCTGAGGAGGACGTTGCAAATTGAGCAATCTCCTACATATCATATCCCACACGTGCTCAATTGGGGATAAGTCGGGAGATCTTGGTGGCCATGGTAACAATGTGACATCATTATGTTGAAAGAAGTCTATTGTGACTCTTGCAACATGTGGTCGGGCATTATCTTGTTGGAAAGTTGGATCTGCCAAGGGGTCAAGATAGGGTAAAAGATGGGGTTCTAGAACTTCGTGGATATAACGGTGCGCGTTCATGTTACCTCTGATGAAGATTAAAGATGACCTGGAACCATAAGCTATAGCACTCCAAACCATAACTCCAACAGTGTGATGAACATGTCTTTCAACAAAAAACTGTGGATTCCTCCTTTCACCACGTCGCCTTCTAACCCTGGCACGACCATCGTGCATACCTAAACAAAATCTAGACTCGTCACTAAAGACAATACTGTTCCATTCCTGATCCCAGAGTGAGCGTTGTCTGCACCACTCAAGGCGATTACGCCGGTGTTCTCGAGTTAAAGGGAGGACCCAGTGTGACCGGTATGAAAACAAGCCAAAACTTCTCATTCGTCGGTAAACACTTCGCATGCCAATAGGTCTTCCGTGTTCTGCAAACCATTCATTTGCAATGGACCTGGTAGTGGGAAACGGTCTCTTAAGGCCAATAATCTTAGGCGGCGATCTTCACGGTCTGTTGTACTACGGCGGCGTCCAGTGCCACTTGCTCTTTGCGCACGGCCTTTTCGAAGCCATGCCTGACAACACCAAACCACAGTGTCTACACTTCTTTGCACTCTAACTGCAATTGCCCGAAAAGAAAGTCCAGCTTCCCGAAGTCCCACTATACGGCCCCTATCAAACTCACTAAGTTGACGAAATCGTACAGGTCTCCGTACTCTAGGCATCGTAACCGATCGTAAAGGATGTCAAGAACCAAAATCCGCCAACGTTGATTCTTTACTGCGGCTGAAATATTCATTTTTAGAGCATTAGTGAATTAAAAAAAAGCAGTATAAAAACCGGAATGTCCAACTGATAAGGCTGAAAATTTTTTCACTTGTTATTTACAGTAAGATAAATACATTCACCAACTTTTATTAAAATAAAACCATTTAAACTGGGTGTTCGGATTTATATGTCACTTAGTATACTAATAACTACTTGATTCTTATTAAAAAAAAAAGTAACAAGAATTCTTCGATCAAAAATACCTTGTAAATATAACTTTTCTAATACTAATATATCACGATCAGACACTTCAATTTGCAATTATACATTATGTTTTATTCCCGTAAATAAAGAAATTTATCAGAAATACCTTTGTATAACAATAAACAACTTCCTGCCCGAAGTGTGAGATTCTCCAGAAATCGCATACTTTCCAAAACATCCTCCTCTTCATTGCAATATACGCAATTTGCGTACTCTTTCTTTCCTTCTATTTTTAGGTAGCTGTCAAAACAACCATGTCGTGTGGGTAACTGTAAAGTATAGTAATACATATATCCATATCCCTTGACAATCCAAGTTTCTAGGATCAGCCTTCTGGTCCATGCACCAGGTCCAGTTGCATCCCATCTCTCCTGCCATCTGACAAAAAGCGCCTCTCTTTCGTCGCTAATAGCCTAGACGCACTTACTTTAGAGTGCACATGTCACCGCAGCCAACAAATCAATTGGCGGGATACCAGCTACCACCAGCGCTGTATCAGGCGCCAAAATCCTGCACCTCTGACTACTGGGGCCTCCGTCAGATGGCGTTAGCCGTATCAGAGATGCAACGTCTTTATTTACTTTGTCAATGGTATATTAAGAATATTTAGCGGTGATCTTTTGAACTCCAATATCTGCTTTATGATAAAGAGAACGGCACATTTTGTTCATCTCGACGAATACTATAAATTACGTGGACAGAGTTTTTTCCGTTTAGGGTACCCGTTTCGAATAAAAAAAATATTGTTTCAAATGACTTTTTTGCGTATAAAGTGCGCTTTTCGTTGTTCAGGATCTATCTTCTCCGAAGATAACGGAAATACGGACCTAGCGACTTCTGCATAAGAAAGCCCTTACTTTGGCCTCCCCCATAAAGGATAGTGGTATATACTTGATTATGTTCAGACCACACACCCAGAGACTGCATTTTGACTCAGATTCTCGGCATTATCAACCGTAATATCCAGTGAGGTTAGCTTCTATTTGCCAGAAAGTACAACTGCAACATACGGATGGTCACGATTGTCCTTTACATTTCTCAATCGTTTGGTACTGTTCCAGGCGACCGATGGCTGGTCTCCTGCCTGGGAGTGCTCTACCTAAACAAAGGGCTGTTCTACCGCGTGGTACCCGCTGACCAGTCATTCTCCGATGACCAGTATGCAGGGGTGTTCCGGTTCCGGTTATGGTGGTGCGGAGAGTGGACGGAAGTACTCGTGGATGACCGGCTGCCGGCCGTCCATGGGAGACTGGCTTTCTTACAACCTCATCGTGGTGACCACTTCTGGCCCGGCCTGTTGGAGAAGGCTTACGCTAAGTATGTATTTTTTGTTATCTATCGGTTCTGTTTAATCGTATATGTGATGAGTTAGAACAATATGAAGCTAGGTTACGCACATATACGTATCTACACTGCATACATTATAAATAGCGCGAAATAAAAACTATTATGGGATAAAATAATATAAAAAATGTAGGAATACGAAAATGTAAAGTAGTTTTATGAGCATACTGGAAAATATATCAAAAATCTGTTTTCCTGGCAACCTCGAAATGTGTTCCATAACTTCGTGCTATAGCAAACATATATTTTTTAATTGAATACCCTCATATTTTATTGTATATTTAGGTAGAGCTTCTAGAAGAAGCTTGATATTATATACGTCATATTTGGTTTCGATTGTCGGTTGTTTAGATACTTAGTGAAATGTCAAATGTCCTAATTTGACGGCTGGCTGTTCCGCCATTTTTGAAGATATTTAAATAAGTTTTAGGTCACAAAAACTTTGTTATCCTCGATTTTAAGCTGAAAGACATGCTAAAATATCTTTCTATTTATACAGAGTAGGTACCTCAAAATGCGCTAACGATTTTAAAATACGCACCGTAACATATCAAGGTTACCACAAAAACAGATTTTTGATATATACTCATTGACATTAGAAGTGTTACACCCAGAAAAAATAATTTCGGTAACTGTATCCTTTGTTAAGTAAATTCTCCAAATTGAGTTTAATAAACAAAGTTCGACTATATAAAATGATTATTAGACCAGCCATTACTTATGCATGGGCGAATTGGTGTTTTCTTGCCAAGACACACATGCAAAGTCTTCAAGTACTGCAAAGCAGAACTCTACGATCAATTTGCAACGCTCTATGGGATGTCTCAAATGAGACACTACACACGGGCCTTGACATTCCTTACTTGAGGGATTATGTCAAGCTTCAGGCACAGCGACGATATAGACAAGCGGAATTGACTCAGTGGACTACACAGTGGAGCAAGTCCGTAGACATTCAAGGCCCCGGCTCACACTGCCATAAAAAATTAGCGCGAACTTTTAGTAGACCCAAATTTACACTCTAACCAAATCTGAATCAAAACTTGTTTTTAGATCACCTCAAAATGAATCCGTGTACCAAGTCAAAAAGCCTAGGTGTTTTCTCTTAAACTAGTACAATTCTGTTTTTCTTTGCTCTTCTCCTTTGTTTTTCTCTTTCCCTTTCTCTTTTTCCTTGACATTGTCTGGTTTCTGGGCAACCAGACTGACAGATTCGACTAACGTAAATGAGGTCCTACGGACCGCCCAGACAAACAAATGGCGAATAGTGATTGATCATAATACAATCGCCCTGTAGACAGGAAAAAGACAAGTTGGCAGATTTTTGTTCCTTAAAAATTTTGAGAATTTGCTGAGAGAAAAAGCGAATATAAGTTGGAACGCACGTCCGAGGGGCCACCAGGCGACTCCTCCATCACAGCGAGTGGAGAAAAAGTAAAACGTGGCGTACCTGAGAGATTGGGGAATACGAACCCTAGTGAGGCTGTACCAAATCATCACTGATCAGGCAGCTTAAATCAAGAGACTGACGGACTGCGTGGACAATCTCTATACCCAGGTTTTTAGCCTTAGTGCTTCTTTAAATAAATTCATGTCCCGTGACAGTTCTATTAATTCCCAAGAGAAGACACAACAGCCCTACCTCACCTACAGAGACAGAAGATGACGTACAGCGTAGTGATTTTACCGCTATCCAGAGACGTAAAAGACGACAGATTCGTAGAATTAACGAATATCCCCTTCCCTTCCGACTAAGAAATTCTCAATCAATACCAATTCAACGGACATAACACCCCCTGCGTCTATTTCTTCAGCTGATTCTGCAAGCCAGCCAAAGCACTCTCAAATGCAAGCACCTAGCTTAAACGAAAGTCGCAACTCTATTTCAGTCTCACAAGCTGCTTCCTTGGCTGACAGCAACACTACATCTCCGTCATCTAACGCTACCCTCGCTACACCTGCTGTGCTGCGGAATGCGACAAAGTGGTGCACTGCCAACTATTCTTTTATCAGTCTTGGTATTAAGATTGATGGAGCAGTGGCTGTTGATGCTGGGATACACGTCGTACCTAAAAGCGAATACGATTATCGCAAGATAATTCGTCTTTTCAAAGAGGAAAATGTTCCTCACCATACATTTCTCCTGCCCTCTGAGCGTAACATTCACGCTGTTATTAGAGGAATCCCAGCGTCAACTGCTGAGCAGGAAATCAAAGAGGAGCTCGAACAGAAGGGATATACTTCCCTCCACGTAATTCGCTTGAAGCGCAAGGGCAGTGTCACCGCTGTCAGAAGTATGGACACGCGCAATCGTATTGCACTGCACCTCCAAAGTGTCTCAAATGTGCTCAAGACCACATGACACATCTGTGCCCTCAAACAGGACATGTGGCGCACACATGTGCGAACTGTGGAGGGGATCATCCGGCCAACAGTTGTACCTGTAGATTCACTTCTAGGAGAAATCTACAAGACATCGCACAAAGGCGAGTAAAATCATAGGCAGACGCAGCAAAGGTTGAAATTCTAGCTGCCCCTGCTGTCCCGAGCTCACCTTCGACTGCTCAAAACGTGGACCTGGCAACAGCGCTAAGGTCCTTGCAGTAGATAATTAGTCCCCTGACAAGCGCTACACATGCCTTGCAGGCGATCTTTCCGATAAATGGCTAGGTACAATAGTAGACAGCCTGCATTCGTCAAAATTCTTTTCTGGAATTGTTTTGGTGTTAGGGATATTCCCAAAAAACGGGAAGTTCATCAAGTACTTTTGGATGAGAGTATTGATGTGGCTCTGTTGCAGGAAAGATTGCTTAATCCGGGAGATCGTCTAGATTTCCCGAATTATGATGTTATCCGAACTGATAGATTAACTGGACGGGGTGGTGGCTTAGAAGTCCTAGTGAAATGTGGTATTGACTACCATAGAATCACAAATACCGAAAAGCAGAGCATTGAAGCGGCTTCCGTGGAGGTCAATATTACGGGAGGTGTCCCGTTGAAGATGGTGCCAGGCTGCAAAAGGCGGACCTGGAACTTCTTATGGACTACTCTGGTACGCTTATTGAAGCAGGGAACTTGTAAAAACAGAGCATGGCATTCTAGGCTGAATTCCACCATTGGGATTCGACTGTACAACCATGAGATACGAAACGGCTGCCTCATACACGAAGCTGAAGAGCCCACGCATCACCCATTTAATCACCTTCAGGTACCAGATGTCATCGACTTTGCAATATCTAGAAACTGTAGATACAGTAACACTTATCGAATCATGTATGACAAGCAAGCGAAAAGGTCTTGTCATCCTGATGATATTCGCAGAGCGACGAATCTTGGTCATGAAGTAAGAAATGCTCTCCATGAATACCGCAAGGAGCAATGGAACGACTTTCTGGCGGGGATGCTTGACTCAAGTACTTCTCTCTGGAAAGTGGCGAAGTCGCTCAGAAACGGAAAGCGAGAACAACTCCCGCACTACCACGGACCAGGGGGCATAGTCTTCAGGACAGAGGACAAGGTCGAGGTTTTCGCTGATGTTATGGAACGACAGTTCTCTCCCAACTATGATCTTGATAATGATCTCGACGAGGAGCAACAAATTGTAAGATCCGTCAGGAGACAGTTTAGGACTAACGGCGTCAGTGATGTCGGCGCCGCCATTAGTGATTCTTCCTCAGAAGATTATTTCTTGGAAGATTCTTCAGCTGAAGAGTTGCACAGCACATCAACCGCTTCTCCCGAGATCCCGCATTGCACACCAGCAGAGCTTCAAGGTCATTTAAAGACCTCAAGGAACGTATAGCGCCTGGGGAGGATTAAATCACTAATAAGGCGCTGAAGCTGCTGTCACGGAATTCCTTGACTTATCTCGAGGCTATTATCAATGCCATGCTAAGGACTCAGTACTTTCCATCGGCGTGGAAGACTGCGGAAGTTATAATGATTCCAAAGAAGGTGGGTTCGATATTTTCCCAGGACTATCGTCCCTTCAGCCTACTGTCTGCTCCGTCTAAGCTCGCTAAAAAGGTGATTCTACGTCACCTTGCGAATATCTCGTCAGATCACCATGTGATTCCTGACAAGCAATCTGTACTTCGGTCTGAGCATAGTACGGAGTTACTGGCGGTTAGGCTTGTGGAGCGAATAATCAGGGGCTTCACCCTTAACGAAAGTACTGGCATCTTGCTTCTGGATGTCTCGAAGGCATTTGACAAGGTGTGGCACAAGGGACTTCTCTATAAACTAATTCAAAAGGGCTTTCCACTATGGCTCCTAAAACTTTTGAAACCCTTCTTTGAAGATGGGAAATTTCGGATCATAATTAATAATTTCTTGTCGACAGTACGGCCCATCAGAGCCGGCGTCCGTCAGGGTTCGGTTCTAGGGCCAATCCTTTACTCACTTTTTACGCATGATGTCCATTGCCCTAGCGACTGTGAAGTCTATCTATATGCTGATGACACTGCACTGGTGGCCCAGTCGCGTACCGGGAATCTGGACAGGTTACAAAGTGCGGTGGATGAGGTATTGGAATAGGCAGATCGGTGACTAATCAAAATTAATTACTCGAAGACGCAAGCTATCTAGTATACTAAAAAACGTAGCGGCGCCCCGCCTGAGGTTTCAGTGAATGGAGCTCGCATACCATGGGGAAATGTTGCTAAGTATCTCGGTGTCACTCTCGACAGGGGGATGCCCTGGCAGAATCACACTGAAGTATTAAAAACTAAATTCCAAATTACGTTTCGGCAACTCTACCCTTTGCTATGTAAAATCTCAAAATTACGTTTGGTTAACAAAGTTCGGCTATACAAGTTGGTTATCAGACCAGCAATCACTTACGAATGTGGAAGTTTAACCACACGGCCACTTCTTGTCCTATTAACATTTGTACTATAGCTGTCAGGGATATTATAACTTTCTGATATATTTTGTTCACTTGAAGTTTGCGCGTTATGTTTTGTATAGCTAAT